GGGAAGGAAAGAGGGTGAGAGTGGGAGGTGGAAACCTGGGAGGAGGGAGCTGGAAGGGGGAGGCATGGGGAGGAAGGGGGAGGAGAAGCTCAGGGCTCGGGGTTGGGGATCTCGCCAGCCCAACTATCTCCCAGCATCACGGGTGGGGTGCCTCGGCATCTCCGGGAGGGTTGGAGGGTGTGGAGGTAGTAGTGGGAAGTGGAGAAGGAGTGAGAGGAGGAACGGTAGCTGGGGAGACAGCCGGGGTAGGAGCGGCAGGAGGCAGCAATCTCTACACCAGGGTCTCACAGATGGCACGGCCCTGGGCAAGCAGCTCCTACCAGCTCTCTCACCGGAGCTGCAGGTCTTCTTGCACCCAGTGCTCCAAGGTGCAGTGAAAGACTTGCAGTGCCCCCATGTGCTGCCGCTGATAGTCCTCTTGTGCACAGGTCAGCCTGCAGAATGCTCGGGTGTAGGAGGATGTCCTGGGTAGTGTGGTGGGCCCTGCACTCGCAGCTGGTGCAGCTGTGGAGAAACAAGCGAAGTGGTCAGTTATCCATGGGGACACAGTGGGTGAATCCCAGCCTGCCTCTGCAAGCCAGAACGACAGTTCTCCGCACCATCAAAGCTGATGTGCTTGCACACAGGCCATGTTCGGGACGTCCTGCTACCCCGGGAGTGGGAGTTGCCCCGAGACTGCACCCATGCCCCTGTGCTGCATCAGTGTGGGTTTGAGGGGTGGGGAGATGTCCCCTGCCTCTGTGTAGAGGGGGCTTGTGAAAGAATGGCGTCCTGCTGTGTCCCATTCTGGGTTCAGGAGCATGTCATGTCTCTTCACATGCATGTGGCTAACAGGCCATGGCCACTGTGTGGCAGCCGGCTGGGGCCACGTGCCCAGGGGTGGCATGGCACATGCTCGCATGTGCACAGGTTGCTGCATGATCCATGGTCAGCAAGGTCCATGCGCGCAGTCCCTGTTCTCCCTCCCCTCCTGCCCCCGCATAAGGGGACTCACATGTTGTTGCCTCATCAGCCTTGGTTGACACCAGCAGCAGGTCCACTGGGACGGCTCGGGGGTACTGGCTGCACGGCACACTCCATCAGGGCTCCTGCGGTTCCTGATCCTCCTCCTCCTCCTCCTCCTCCTCCATGCCTTGGTCAGGGCCCTCTGCCCCAGGGTCGATGACCACCTGGGGGACACGGACCATCCCGCCCCCCAGGATGCGGTCCAGGGTGTCCAAATACGGGCAGCTCTCTAGGTCTGCTCCTGGTTGGGAGCTGCCCCGTGTGGCCCTGGCATAGACCTGTCACAGCTCCTTCATTTTCATCCGAACCTGCTCCTGGGTTTGGATGTGGCCTTTGGTGGCCAGGCTGGCAGCCATCTGGCTGTAAACAACTGCATTCCTCCATCTAGTGCGGAGATCATGTATGTTGACGGCATCCCCCCAACCCTCAATCAGGTCCATGATCTCTGCACTGGACCAGGAAGGCGTCCTCCTTCTCCGGCCCCTGGCAGGCTCCTGGGAGCTGGCAGACAGGTCCTGGGGAGCGGTGGAGGGCTGGCTGCCCTTGGCTTGCTGGCTCATGCTGCAGCCTGGCTCAGGGGCGGCAGCAGAGTAGCTCAGGGCTGACAGGCCTGGTGCTAGCCACAATGGCTCTGGACAGACTCTATACCTTTAAGAGCTCCATAAGATGAGGAGGGGGCCTAAGGCACCCTGGGAAGGGCTGGAGGCCCCCTATTTCAAAATAGCCCCTATTTCCTGTGTACGCAGAGCCTATTTCAAAATAGTTATTTTGAAATAAGCGCTATTCCTCGTAGTTTGGGGTTTACCAATTTTGAAATAAGCCCTCTGAAATAGCGGTTGGCTTGTGTAGACGTTAGGAAAGTTATTTTGAAATAACGCCTGTTATTTCTAAATAACTTTGCTTTGTAGACTTACCCCCAGAAACATGTGTGTATACACGCATGCACTCACGTACAAACACACACACACACTTGCAAAGAACTGCCTACTTCTTTAAGCATTTTTTTTTCTTAGCATCTCTACAGTTTTTGCTGTACAAAATATTTTGGCCATATTGGCCTTTGACAGAAAGTGAATTAAATGTCATACCTTTTATTCATTCTAAGGCAAGTGTCAAGAAAATTCAATGGCATGGTAGGGAACTCTTAAGTTCTAGAGGCCAGATTTCAAAAGCATTTAGGCTTCTAAAATTGTAGGTCATTGCCTTGATTTTCAAAAGCATCTCACCAGGAAAATTATTGACCCCATTGACTTCAGTGGGACCCACTTACCTAGCATCATCAGGTGTTTTTGAAAAATCCTACTATGTGCCTAGCTGCATCATTAGCCTACTAGATATCTTTGAAAATCTTGCCCTTAACTGGCTGGTTTTAGTCAAATCTCCAGTAATTAGAGTACTGATTATCAAAATCACATGACAGCCAGAGTTTCCCATCCTCCACACCCAGCCTCATCTGAAGAAGATCCCACCTTTCACTTTTAGGCTATTCATTCTAATGCAGACCCAAAATGGCAATCATTGAAATTCATGACTATTTTGAATGATTAGTGACCACATGAAATAATTGGTGATCTTTCTCCAGCCTTTGCTCAAGAGGTACCTATGTCATAAAAACCACCAACATAATTGCCTCTAATTGTCACCTTTATAATTGTTTCAGTAGCAATTTCAAGTTTTATCAGTCATGAAGATAAAATTATCTTCCCAGCAGTGGAAACAGTCCCACCAGGACAGAATTGAGATCCTTGGGTCAGGCACTGTGGGGAAATTTGCATTGCTTATGCCCATGCTGAACCTGTTTGGTGGATAATCAGCTTCATTCTCCAGGGCTTTTTATCTAGCATCTTGCATGAGCCAATTAATTAACTCTCAAATGGTGAACTTGATGGGGTATGATTTTTCAAAAATCACTTTTCAACCACTTCAGTAGAAGCCAATGGACATTGCTCAGTACCTCTGAAAGTCAAGCAGCAATGAAGTACTTTTTAAAGAAAATAAGTGATTCTCACTTGAATGTCCAGGAATGGAGTCTGGTTTATTTTATTTTTTTTTAATAAAACAGCCATACAACTTCATAAGAGCTAACCACTGGGTTTTCACAATCCAAAGAGCAAATAAACAAGTCTGAATAATACAATGAGGACTGTGTTTTGTTTATACAATGAAGAATTGTTTTTGTGGGGTTGGGTTTTTGGGGGTTTTTTGTTTGTTTATTTTTGTTTTTTTGTATATAGCCAATATATAATTGCCTTTTATATAGGACAACAAAATTCAAACAATATTTGGTGATGCTGGAAATGTAAAACTAATTATTTTAAAAGTAATTATTTTAGAAGGTGCGGTAGTTTCCCCTGTCTAACATTTGAGTTCTGATTTCTTTTCTAACCTCTCTCATTCCTGTTCTTTTGCTAACCGCTTTCCCAAATATATTCCTCAGGGGTTAAATTTTCCAAGCTTGTCTCAGGCCAAGAGTTAAAGTTAGTCATTTCATGCATATTGTAGTTATTCTAGACTCTCGAATTCTAGATCTAAAATCTAGATCTTACAATTATAGTGAAATGTACTCAAGCAAATTAAAACAGCTGTTGCTTCAAATGTGCCTGGTTCCGAAAAAAATCTCATTAAGATGTAAGTTTTTAAGATGAGTTTAAAGAATATTGATTATTTTTAAAATCAACAAGAAAAGTTTAGAGAAAAACTTGGATCCCAAATGAAGAGTACTGATTTTCACTGTGTGGATTTTGTTCAGGTCGACAGACACAAACACATGATATGTATCATATATACATATGTGTATAAAATGATGACTTTCAATTTGTATGGTACAGTATCTATGCAACTATTTAATTTACCAGTAACTGATGGAAGATACACAAAAATTACATGTGAGTAATAAGGATATTAGTTGTCACAGCTCCTAATGGATAAATTAACCATTCACATCATTTTTAACCATCATGGTTTCTTTTCTCTCTCTCTCTCTCTCTTTTTACATAAGCTCTGAATTAAAAACAATTACATCTATTTCCACAGTAGCTGATGACACTGTGGCTATAGCTGACACAGGCTAGTAGAGATTATTATTGCAAATTAATGTTTTGGAAAAGGAGAAAGGATACTTATCACAAGAGGGCTGCTTTTTAGTTCTCATATAATTTAAAAGTTATATTAACTTTTTTGCAATCATTTAACATTTAACTTAAGCATGTTAGCTAAAATATATGGAATGAAATAAAAATATCTATTACTGTAATGAAGCCACGTAGCACAGATCTGAAGGAATAGATTATTCTTGATTTCCTAAAGATTCAGAATATATCAACCCAAGAATGAGCTTAATTGAAACATGAACATTTTAACAGCAAATGCCAACATTTACACAATGAATTATATATGGTGCCAGCCATTCAGATCCAAAAATTAATAGGTACCATCAGATAATACAAATGGTATTAGATAATGAATGCAACTGTTTATAATGACACCAGTGCATATCAGATTAAAGATATATGTTAAGGGGCACTACAAAGGTAAGAGAGGAAGGGAGAATCTTTGTGGATTTATTGCTTTGTCAAATGAAACATTATGTGCTTATTTTCTGTTAATCTATATTTACATGTTTATGCAATTAGCCCTCTATCAAATCAGCACAAAGTGGAAACAGACTGGTGATAGCACATGCCGGCTTCAGTGCACTGTAAGACACCGGTATAAACAGATTTCAAAACAAAGCACTGCTGTTGCAAACAGTTGTCTCTTATTTAGTGTACTCTCTAGTTTTACTGGAACTGTTCTGCTGCCAACTAATTACCAGAATAGCAAATGGCATGGATCATTTTCTGCATGCAGTTACAGAATTTCCAATTAGTCAAAAATTTCTAGTGCCTGAACCTTGTTACCAAAAAAGAATGGGGGGAGATGAGCAAGGATAAATTTTAAATCAGGTTTTACTATATTTTTCCAACTGTTGATTTTATTTTTCTCCTGTGGATCCTTCTGTGTGATTTCAAAATGAAATACAGAGGTTAAATTTTCACAGTGCGTTATAAAATTACATACAAAAGGATATAACGATGACTTGATATGACATGAAGCGTTTCATCTTGGAAAAGCAAAATGGACTCTCAGCTTATTAGGCAAATTCCCCACCTCAGTTTATAGATGCATCATGGACTCAAATTCATCAATTCTTTGTTTAGTGTTTCCTTTTCTGATCTTGCGATAGGAGATTGTATTGTATCTAGAATAACTGTGTCTGGAGATATCATTTTTTTTCCCTGAGCCTGGCTGCTCCTCAGGTTTCTCAGCCTGGAGGTTAAAAATGGGGCTGGTAGAAGGGCATTCTGCCCTGTCATTATCTTGCTTCTTTAAAGGAAACTCCCCACAATTTTCTTTCTTGCTTTCTCTCAACTGCACATCCTTCTCTTCTTCCACATTCTCTCTTTCTTCTAATTGTGTATCAGATTTAATTGGTTCCTTGGGTTCAAGCAGCAGCACTTCTTCTTGGGCTCCTGCCGTTTGGAACTCTGCAGCCTCATTAGCAAGAGTAGCTATTTCTTCCTGAGGTTGTTCTGTGTTCCTTTCTTCATGTCTTGTTATTTCACATTCTGTGGTGTTTACGGGAATAATCTCCTCACAGGGCCCTGTAGCAAAAACCAATTAGTTTTGGATAAAGTATGGGATGGGTGATTTCTTACGCTGCAATGTGTTGAAATTGCATTTGAATTTTAGCCTGGGTTTCCATGGCTCACATATGTAGATCACAATGTGCAGAATAAACTGAACAACCATTTTCTGGAACAGAACTATGGGTCAGGAGCTTGCGGCTGCATTTTCTATCCTTATGAACACTTAAATTTACTGCCACACACTTTGTTTACACCAAGGTGCTTGTTGGTATTTTTTGTATCTAGAATAACTATTTGTACTAATGTATGGTTTTTACCAATAACATCCTCTGTACCATCTATCACACATTCATCTGTCCTTGATAAGGATATGTAGTGTGGTACCACGTGGGACTTGGGAGTCAGTCAAACCTATGATATATTCCTGGACCCACTTTTTCATGTTAGTGACTGGCTGTGCCACTGCTTCCCTCCTATCCTGTATCTGTTTATCCTGGAAACTTTTTAGGGCAGGAACTGTCTCTCATCAGGTCTGTCTTTCATCATGTGTTTATATCCAAGGGCATGTCTACATTAGGAAATTATTTTGAAATAATAGCTGTCGAAATAATAATTTCAAAATAGTGTGTCCACACTACAGGGAAGCCTTGAAATTAGTCTGAAGCAGGCTGCATTAATGTGGATGCGCTACATCGACTTAGAGCTCCAGGAAGCACTGGGGAGTAATTAGTCTGAATGACTCTGAGGAGTAGTTATTTTGAAATAATGGCACCAGAGCATCCACATTAGTGCTATTTAAAAATAACTATTTCAAAATTAGTGTTATTCCTCGTGGAAAGCAGGAGTTATTATTTCAAGATAACCAGCCCCTTATTTTGAAATAACAGGCTTGGTGGTGTGGATGTTCCACTTGTTATCTTGAAATAAAGGGAGAATAGACCAGGGTCTAGTGTGCTAGATTTTGTTTTAAAACTATTCCCTACTCATTGCAGGCTAGACTATGATATTCTTATTTGTACTGAATATACCACATGGCCAGTATCCCCAAGAAACTCACTGAAGGAAAATGTATTGCAACATGAATAAGAGATAACAACCGCTAGTACCATAGGGATCTGATAATATTTGGGGCATCAGGACTGTAATGCAAATCATAACTTCCTATTTCAAGGAGTTGTGTTTGTGTGTACAAACCTGCATATTATTATTTTGTTAAAAGAAATAAACCACCTGTGTCAACCCTTCAACTGCATGCAGTGCTCTCCCAAGTAACCTTTTGTTGGTATTGTCTCACCCCTTCTCACTCCAGCCCTTCCCTGTCATATTGTCTCCTCCTAGTCTCAGTCTACAGTCAGAATCAGGTCCTTCAGTTGTAAATTCTTTAGGGCACAGATCACAACCTTACTTGTTTTGCAGAGAGCCAGGCACATCTATAGCACTGGAGATGTGATAAATAAATGTGCATGTCTTCATGATGCTGGAAAGTGATGGCTTGTGACATGATGGGATTTGCCAAGGTTTGTTATGACAAATGTAAATAATCAGTCTTAATACAATGGAAAGGTTTCTGAAATCAAGCTCTCAAAAGGCATGACATTGAAAAGGGAGTCATGAACCATGGTTCCTCTCTCAGTGCCAACACAGTCACAATCTTAGGGTCAAATGATGGCTGTGCACCTGCATGGGGTGCATCGGGCATTCAGCTAGGAGATGAGAGTCCTGGTGTCCGGTCCCCTCACTCCAAATAATTTAGCCAGAGAGAAATAGCTTCACTATATGGCTAGTCCCTGCTTGCTATGTTCCCATCTTTCAACAAACCCCCCCGGAGTCTCTTCCACTGGAGATTATATTCAGCAAACCAGACAGGGTTTCCAAGATAGCTGAACATGGAACCAGTGTAATATTGCTTCCTTGCACAATTGTTTGCCTCCATTTTTTACCAGCTTCCCCTGCAAAGCATGTCACTCCATTCCTCGATCAAGAGTTACAATGCACTATAAATTCCCTCACCTACAACAAAGGGGCTAGTTCTACTTACAAGCTCAACCACATCTTGCTCAAACACTATTAAGCCTATTGAGTTTGCAATCTCTTCCTGCTTCTGCAAATGTGCTTGTAAATTCCTGTAACCAAACAACTTTTCTGTGACTGTTTTTTTTTAAATCACAATATTTTTATAAGTGAATAGCTAATAGTCCTGGCCACATTTTCCAAATCCCTTGGCCCCACCCCCAGCCTGGAATTTTCTGCTGCATATGCTGACTCCTGTATATTCAAACCTTTAAGATTTTGTTTTAAAATCATTTCCCACTCATTACAGGCCAGACTGTGATATTCTTACTCAGGCTGAGTGTTCACTGGCAAGTATCCCCAATGACACTTACAGAAGAGAAAGATGTTGCAATGTGAGAAAGCGAACAATCTGGATTTAAGGGCTAGATTCTCTTCTGCATTCCTGTTCTTCTCAGTTTAGGAAAGTGAAAGAAAGGTGACCAGGTTGTCAGGTTTTCCACCAGAATACCTGATAGAAAAGGAACCCTGGTGATGCCATCCAGGCCATTAAAAATCCATTTGGTGGTGTTGCAGGGCTAAGGCAAGATAATCCTTAGCTGTTTTGGCATCATGCTGCACCCCAGAAGGTGCCAGCAGGTGCAGCTCACGGTAGTACACTGCCCCCACCCTGAGAACCCTGCCCCCATCCTGTCCAATGGAAGCTGGGGGCAGTGCCTGTGTGATGAGAACTGTGTGCAGAGCCACCATGCCCCCTCCAGGTACTAGACCAGTTAGCTGCTTCCAGGGTGCAGCATAGTGCCAGGGCAGGAAGGAAGCCTGCCTTAGCCTTTCTGCACTGCTGACTGAAAGCCTCCAGAGGTTAGCCCACACGCCAACTCTCTGCCCCAACCTCCCTAAACCTGGAGCCCCCTCCCACACTCTGAACCCCTCACCTCAGTCCAATCCCAGAGCCCTCGTACCTCCCTGTATTCCAATCCCATTCCTCAATGTGCAACCCCATCCCACACTCCAAATCCCTTGGCCCCACCCCCACCCCCAAATATCTCATCCCCAGTTCTCACCCCCTCCCACAACTCAACTCCCTTTTCCAGCCCAGAGCCTCTTCTGCACTCTGAACCCCTCATTTCTAGCCCCACCCCAGAGCCTGAACCTCCTGTTAGAGCCTTCACTTCTTTCCACACCTCATCGCCCTGCCCCAGCCAAGTGAAAGTGAATGAGGGTGCGAGGCCCTCCAGCTGTCCAAAGAGGAGGAATATAGGGAGCAGGTGCGGGGCCTCAGAGAAGAGACAGGGCTAGGGCATCTGGTTTTTACGATTCGAAAGTTGGCAACCCTAAATTAAAGAGAAGAAAGTTTCAGAGAAAGAGTTATGGCTCCCTAATCCTGTGAGTTGGTCTATAGTGACATAGTCATGAGTTAGAATCATCTCAGGATTTATATCATTTATATCTTTGGTACAGGACCGTAAGCCAAAAGAGAATCAGAAAACTATGTTCTTAATCATTCTCTCCATACTCAAAGAGGCACCACACAGATTTTATGCCATGAGTTATAGTAGCTCATTGTTCAGAACATCCAGGATACTTTCTTTCTTCAGTTATGGATATGTCACTGACAGACCAGCCAGCATGGCATTCTAATTCTTGAATCTGTCAGACAATGCATCTCAAAAAGAGTGAACACTGTTTCCTTTGTGGCCAGCTGTGGTGGTTTAAGGATGGATGTGGGATCCCAGTTTGAAAGGAGCCTTTGCTAATGGAAGACAGCATTCTACATCTATCCATTGCAGATCCCTGGGGTTTATTTCATTCCCTCATCTAAAGGCAAACACAGTAAGCTTCATACCAGTCACCATGCTCCGCACAGACACTTAGCAGCATTATGCATCTCCTGCCCTGTGAGAGGCTGTAGGAAAGCACAGAGGCCCCAGAGGTATGGAATCTAGCAAGACTCCATCCTAGGGTTCTACTAGCGGAGCTGAAATGTTGGTAGCTTTGGGCCCCATTAACTAATGCTCTACTCCTGGTTATCAGCCCAGTAGCCTTCATCCATTCATAAGAGCAAGACCCCTCCATGATAATGAGATCTAGCTAAAAACTTTTCAACAAAATTGCAACATTGTAGAGAATTTTTTCATCACGATATCAGTGACATGCATTTTTCCAAAAGTAATTTGCTTTAAAAAAGAAGTTTAAAAAACAAAAGACATGAAAAGTGGGAGTTCTGGGAACAGTTTGCTGTCTGAGGTTTTGGAATTTAAATGAGTTTTAAATTAACTGGATTTTAAAGTGATTATATAATTTGCTGATATTTCTTTAGGAAATGAGAATCAGCAGAATTCAGAAAATGGAGACACATTAGGTCATTAAGACCAGTGTTTCTCAACCAGTGGTATGAGGACCCTCGGGGGGTACTCGAGAGAAGTCTGGGAGGTACGTCAACACAACTGAAATTTGGAGAAAACTGAATTTTTGTTTTTAAGTTTTACAGCGCTTTATTATTTTTGTACTTTTTACACCCAATAATTTCATCGCCTGCCCGGCTACAATTAAGTTGTTTAAATAATTTTTTTAAAGGGGTACTTTATAAAACAAAAAATGAGAAACACCGATCTAAACATACAAATTTTCCAGAGAAGGATTAGTCCCTAGAACAGGGGTGGGCAATAATTTTTGACAGGGAGGCTACTCAAAGATTTAGGTAAATGGTCACTTTTCTTAGGAGGGGTCTGGGATCTGGGATGAAGGTTGTGTGGAGAAGGGAGCTCAGGGTAGGGGACTGGGGTGGGTCTGAGAGGGAGTTTGGGTGAAAAAAAGGGTTGTGACCTGGGGCAGGGGATTGGGGTGCGGGTCTGAGATCGGGTATGGGTTCATGAGAGGATTCTGGCCTGAGAGAAGGCTGTAAAAGGGGTGCAGGGCCTGGGAGGGAGTTGTGACCTGGGGCAGGAGGAGGTGGTGACCTCAGGCAGTGAGTTGGGGTGCATTAGAGGCTCTGGCTGGGAGGT